ATATTTTCTTGGCAGTACCTGGATGTGTTGTACATTCCCTATGGGACAGGATCCCTTCCATAAATGGGTTGTAGCCAATAGCCAGGACTGTGGAGGATGTTTTTACATTTCTTTTCTTGTTTTGTTTTTTAAAGTGTCCCTGTGGATTGTATCTGACTGCCTATTTCTGTACAGATGTATCTATTTATAAAGTGTAGTGAGGCTTCCTATACGGGCCTGTACCCAAACTTCAACCAAGGTGTTTGTGTGTCACTGTAAGGAGACAGATTTGATGACTAAAGGACAAGTAGGCAGGGCTCCGTATTCTCTGTTCACCCATTCCCTCCTTGGTCCAAAATCTGATTGGACAGACCCATTCTCAGTCCAGAATGTTTCTTAAGTTGAGCAAGGCCTAAATCTTCACATTTTGCTGCCCCAGTTGGTTATGGAAAGAGCTTTATTAACTAAAGATGTTCAGGCTTTTCAAATACATGCGTGGACGCACATACAAGCCTGTCCCCCTTTACGTGAACCTGAAACCGTGTCTGACATGCACCTGAAGTAGCCAGCCTTTTTATTTGTAAAGGCACCAAGTACTTGAGAAGCCTTTGAATCTGAGCAGAACTAGCAAACAAGCAATGTTTTGTCTGGAAATTAATTTAAACATTGGTCTTGTGTTCACCTGTATTGCTATTCACCTGTATTGCCAAACGCTGTGTGTTGGTGAGAGGGTTGCCCAGGCCAAAGATGTTGGATCCCTGGCTTCTTTGCTGGCTTATATTGCGTCTGCTGCTTCTGTGCTCACACTCTCTCCCCATCTTTCATCTGAGGATGACCATTTGGAGTAAGGGGGGAGGGGAAGGAGCCCTCTATCTCTGTAGAAACTAGTGGAGTAATGGCTTCCTCCAGCACAATGCCAGATTGAAAGAATCATGGCAAATGGACCTGCCACCTTTACCGTTGGCTGCTGGGTAGAGAACAAGCACTACATATTGTGGGTCTGTTCTGGTGGCCTCTAAAGTTGATGAAAAGCTTTCTGCTGACTCATAGATTTCATAGACATTAGGGCTGGAAGGGACTTGAGAAGGTCATTGAGTCCGTCCCCCTGCCCCAGGGGCAGGAAGTCAGCTTGGGTCATAGGATCCCAGCAAGATAAACATCCAAATTTCTCTTGAAGGTGTCCAAAGTAGGTGCTTGAACCACCTCTGGTGGCAGTCTATTCCAGGCCTTGGGAGCTCAGACAGTAAGGAAGTTCTTCCTTATGTCCAGCCTGAAATGGTCATGGAGCAGTTTGTGATTATTTGACCTTGTCATCCCTTAGAGCACTCTGGTGAACGGATGTTCCCCCAGATCCTGGTGGACACCCCTTATAAACTTATAGGCAGCCAGCAGATCACCCCTGAGCCTGTGCTTTTCCAGGCTGAAGAGTCCCATACCTCTCAGCCTGTCATCATAAGGTCTGTTTTCCTGACCTCTGATCATGTGTGTGGCTCTCTGGACTCTCTCGAGCTTCTCCACGCTCTTTTTGAAATGTGGAGCCCAAAACTGGACGCAATAGTCCAGCTGTGGCCTCACCAAGGCCGAGCACAACAGTAAAATGATGTCCTGGGATTTGCGTGAGAAGCATCTATGGATACAAGCCAGAATTTTGCTCACTTTACCAGCTGCAACATCACATCGATGGCTCATATTCATCTTGTGGTCAATCATGACCCCCAAGCCCTTTTCTTCCATAGTGCTAGCCAGCGTAGCACTGTCAAGCCTAAAAGCATGCTGTGGGTTTTTCTTCCCAAGGTAGAGAACCTTGCATTTTTTGGTGTTAGACACCATCAGGTTCCCATCCACCCATTTCCTGAGCCTGTTAAGGTCAGCCTGGATCGCCCTCCTATCCTCAGGTGTGGATGCTTTACCCCAAAGTTTGGTGTCAGCAGTGAACTTGGCCAATCTGCTTCTGACACCCATGTCCACATCATTAATGAAGATGTTGAATAGTGTTGGCCCAAGGACAGAGCCTTGAGGGACCCCACTGGTCCCAGCGCACCACAATGATTGACTTCTATTAACCACCACCCTCTGGGTTCAACCACGGAGCCAATTCCCCAGCCAGTGGATCGCGGTGAAGCTGAGGCTGCAGTTGGGATCGTGGGATACCAGATCGAAGACTTTTTTAAAGTCAAGATATATGATAGGTCACCTGGTCATAAAAGGAAATAAGATTGGTCAAGCCAGACCTACTCACAACAAACCTGTGCTGGCTATCCCTCAGGATGCTGCCATCAAGTGACTGCTGGCTCAGGTCTGATCAGATGGAGAGCAGTCTCTTAACTCTCCCCAGTATAAAACTGCATTGAACAGAAAGTGGTTGAGCTGCCCCTTGAATTTTATTTCAGTAGTTTCCTGAGGAGCCTTCAAATCGCAGCTCTCCCTCTCCTGTAACTACGGAGCTGCATTTCCTGTCTTGCTCTGCTTGACAGCAGCAGAGTCACTGGCAAGGGCTGATGACAGAGGCAGTGAACATGCACAGGGAGCAGGTGCACTGACACTCCTATGACTTGTGTTGTCAGTGGAAGGAGGAGTGGGGGCACTTTAAACACCAATAAAGGATTTTTTCAGAACTCAGGGTTTGAAAGAAACAGTAGAAATCCTTGTTGAGAGTCTGGGCTAGCAGCCAGCAGCACTTCAGTGGACATTTGAGTTGATTTTCTAAAAATACTAGTCTTTAGCTGTGGTGGAGAAGAAAGCTTGCCAGATGAAAGCAAGGCTTCACTCTCCTCCCAGAATCCAGAGGTGCTGCATATAGCTTTGCCCTGGAGTAGCCGCATGGCTGTAAGATTCTGGACCATTTCACCGGTGCAAGAGTGCAACTGGCAGGAAGATTAGAGCCCATGCTGGTGGGGAAGGAGGTGAGGAGCTGCAGCAAGGGCTGGGGAGATGGGAACAAAAGCCTGAAAAGTCTAAAAGCAGCATCTCTTCTGATCCCTCCCTCTCTCCTCTGGCTCCTTCAGAAGCCTGGAGGAGGGAATGGAGTAGTGGAGAGACGCATCTCCCTTGTTGTAGTACAAAGGCTTTGGCAAAGGGAAGAGATGCAAAAATCCCTCCCAAATGATTTGACACCTCTTACGGGAAAGTGGTGATAGGACATGGAGTCTATAATGTAAAGCTTGCAGGAACTCCAGCATCTTCACCCTTCCCACCTAGCAGGAGTTAGCCCTGGAGAAAGTGAGATACAGGAATGCTGTCTCTTCCCTATTGTAGCTCTCCCCTGTTCTCTTTGTTGGCTAGGAGGTGGATGGTAATTTTTCCACACAAGCTTTTTCCAAGCTGCAGTATTTTTTAGCTTGCTCAAATATTGGAATCAATCACTGTTCTTTTTAAGATGGCTACATGTTTTTAATAGCTGCCCTGCCCCCATACAGGATAACATGTTTGATAACAAGTAATTTACAGTATATGGAGAAAATCAGTGTTAAAAATAAAGATGCTGGCTTGAATTATTGATGTGATTTGGAAGCTCTGCTGGGTGATCTGGACAACTTGTGCACTTCTATCAGGATGACAATAGGTGATGGCACTGAGTGGAGACTGCAAATCAGTACTGTAGCAAGCAGGGGGATGAATGGGGCAACCACCCCAGGTGCCAAAGCAAAGGGGCACCAACAGGCGCTGCCCAACTGAGCTCATTGGGGGGGAGGGCGGGAAGAGGGGGGCTCCTGCTGCTACATACACTCTTGGGCAAGTGTGGGTGGGGGGTGCCCCCCCCAGATCTCTGCATGGGACAAGGGCAGGCTGCTGCGGGTTTGCCCTGGGTGCCAAACTTCCTTGCCATGGCACTGCTGCAGATAGTATTTTTCAGTCTACTTTGACATAGGCAGACATGGACATTGGGGCACCCAGAGTCTGATTTGCCCCATCCAATAGCTGAGAAAGAAGCTCACATTGTTCTAAACCCATCTCCCCACTCGGGGCTGCAAGAGCATTACAGCTGGTAACTTAAAATTGTTAAAAAAGTGCTAGGTTTTAAATAAAGGGATGTGCACTACCTGAAATGAGAGTAGTTTTGAAAATAGAATCCAAAGTAATTTCAGGCTCTGCAACTATCCCTGAATGCCTCAGAAGGAAATTGTAGTTTTACAGTCACAGCTTCCACCTCATCATAACAATGCTCCCTGTTCCTGGTAAATCTGTTTTGCACCTGTCTCTGTGAGACCCTTAAAAATGATGCGGGAAATGGATTAGGTAGACTCCAAGTGTGTTAACTTGACCTAGAAAACAAACTCAAGCCAGGCAGGTGTGTTCTTAGAGTAATTGCGGATGTAACTTCACATGGGAGGTACTGATCTAGGCAGAACTGTAGCTTTTAAATGAATGTTTCCTAATCTCTTGTTGCTTTTTGTACCAATAGCTGTCTACTGTTAAAATGTGGCAAACACTGCAGCTGCTGCCTTTTTCCCTGAAGCCCAACTTATTAGGTATTTGAAATAAACTGCACATCAGGTTTTTCTTAACAGTGGGGCGTGCACAATTTAGCAAAACCTATTTGCTTCCATCAGGAAAAACCGAATTAGACCTGCTGTTGTGATGGTGCTGCATTCAGTCCATAGTGAATCTGAGTGGGAAATTGGCACGTGCCGTGACTCTGTCACCCTGGCGTCAGCGTTTGACGGGAAGGAACAATGGCCCTTTGTTCCATGCATATAACAACATGGGCATGGAGAGGGCGAGTTGCTGCTCTTTGTTTCCACATATGAACTGGGGAGGAGACTAATGACACATTGTGCAGAACGAAGCTTTGGGTCAGGGCAGCACTTTCAGCATGGCAGGTTATAGAAGGAAAAAGTGCTCCATAAGCTTTTACGATGAATGGGTTTGCAAAGTCACTAACCAGCATTAAAATTATGTCCCCTTGTTTAACGCCTTAATTCAGCAACATAGTTACCAGTTTAGAAGAAAATTTAATGGAATTGCTATAAAATAGTTGCTTTTTATGAATGGACTTTACTTTCTCCTGTACTGGTCTCTTCCTGCCCTGACTCGTAACTTGTGTGAGAGCTATGTTGGCAGTTAGATCTTTAATTGCTGCCATTTTTATCTCTGTTCTTCACATTTGGTCTGCAAGATCATTGACCTCTGCATGCTCCTCCTGGTTCACTGCATCCTCTGTTTCTGGCACTATATTCAGTTTAGCAGTTGCTTTAGACTTAGGTTTGTTGTCTAGTTACACTGGGAGCTCAGATTCCTACTGTTGTTCTGACTTTACCTTTTCTAGATTCTGCAAATGCTCATCTTCCTTTGCAGCCAAAGTTCCTGAAGGAGCTTGAGATTTTGGAGTTTGCATCCAAATGTGACTCAAAACCTCTTCAATGCGCAACCTCCGACTCACATCTGGCTGCAGCATGCGGTAAATTAGATCCTTGCATTCAACTGTCAGGTTTTTAGACCTGGGGAAGTGCACTCTGTGTTCCTTCTGCATCCTGAGCATCTTTCTAATATTTGAGTCATCATATGGCATCGATCCACAGACCATTATAAACAGAACGACACCCAGACACCATATGTCAGAAATCTTGGGTTGATAGGGAATGCCCTGTAGAACTTCAGGGGCGGCATATGCTGCAGAACCACAAAAAGTTTGACTGGGAATAACTTTCCCATTTTGATCCCGACTCAGTTGTTTGGAAAAGCCGAAGTCCGATAGTCTGATGTTGCAGTCCTTATCTAGAAGTATGTTCTCACATTTCAAATCCCTGTGGACAAAATCCAGATCGTGGCAATACTTAATGGCGGTGCACAGTTGACAAAACATCTTGCGAACTACATCCTCAGTCATTGCTCCTTTACTTTTGATGAACTCCAGTAGGTCACCTTTTGCAGCAAGCTCCATCACAATGTAGACTCTGCTTTCAGAGGTCTCTAATATCTCATAGGTCTTGATAATGGAGCGGTGCCTCACCTTTCCTAAAATATCTAGTTCCCTGGGGAGAAACTTTTCTAGGAAGTCAGGAGGAGCTTTTTTGCGGTCTATGATTTTTACTGCTACATCAAATTTCATTTTTTCAGCGTAGGCAGATTTCACTTTAGCATAAGACCCTTCTCCCAGAATAGTCCCCAGGATGTAGCCTCTGTTTTTAAGGATTGCAGCATCATCCATGGTGCTGGAGGCAACAAGTGAGTCATAAATTGAAGTTGACGGTGCATCATGGATGCTAGTAGTCTGCTTGTATAAAATCCATGGTGGTTATGAGATGACCTGTTCTCTCAAGCTGGTTCAGATTGAACCTTCAGCATTGTTTAATATATGAGGTAGACATGTGATGTCACAAAACAGAGCTGTTAGCAATGGCTGGTGAACTAACATGCCTTTTTCAGAATGATTATAAAGCAACTAGAACCAAAGAGCCAAGCCCAGATTCTAGCACATCATCTACAAGAAACCTCAGCTTATTTGCACTTTTAACTCCCTGGTAAAATGATTACTGCATTCATTCCTACCAGGCGAATGGAAAAAAATTAAATTAACTTTCCTGCTCTTCTTGTCTGAAAAGTACTAGATTTTTTTGCTTTCTTATGTATTGATAGGTTTTGGCCTGCTATGCTACTGTATTTTGCATGTAGGTTGGATACTAACATAATTAGTAGCCTCAGTCTTAGAGGCTTAGGGGCTTGTATGGCTTATGAGAAGGCGAAATAACCTGAGAAGCCCTATGGAATGCTTGACTTTCAAAAAACGGCTTCCTGTTTAAGTCCTAAATTGTCCAGTCTTAGAAATGTTATTCAATCTATTATAATGACACCTCTAAAACACATTATTTACTATACCATAGGAGCCAGTGAGAAAAGCCTCTTTTTTTAAATAAGTATAGTTCAACCAGGAGAGCTTGCAAATTTTTCAAAGGCCTGAAGACATTGAGCTTTTTTGAATGTAATAAATATAAAAATCTATTTTGGGGGCTAATATTCTTGTTTCTTAAAGCTGAACAGTGTAAACGTAATCTAATTTACCCATGTCTACTTCTGCTGTAAAATTCTGAGAATAGAATCTTTTTTGGAGGCTCCACGCTTGTGTACACATCTTTCCACACCCAGTTATATATTTCTCATGCAAGATAATACCTTTATATGCAGCAACTAGATGTATTCAGCTCAGTTTCACCCTGAAAGTAGAAATTCAGCCTGTCTCAATCACCTTTACATCTGCCTTTTGGAAAAACTAAGCAGAGTTGTTCTCAGCAAGTCTCGCTGAGAGCTGTTTTTGCTAGATCCCAGATAATTTTTTTTTTTTCAAACCTTGTCAAAATTCAGACACCAGAACTGTATCCATTGTCAGTCTAGGCAGTGTTATATACAGAGGTAAAACCTACTTCCTCCTGCTCACCACTTTAGCTATTTATACATCCCAAGATAGTATTTGGTTTTTTACATCCACACTTAAAAGTTCAGGCTGAATATCCTGCTTGCTATGACCCCTCACTCCTCAGTTGCTGCTTTCCAGAGTCCAGTGCTCTGTTCTGTATCCGTGACTTGCCTTTCTTGCTCTTGGGTATTTAACTTTCCATCTGGTTGGATTAACGTCCTTTTCTTTTCTTTTTTTTTTCTTTTTTTTTTACAATGGATGCAGGTTGCCGTGTGATCCGCATCACACTGGTTGACTGCCCTGTCATCCTTGTTGTTCACCACTGTTCTCCATGAATTTTCTTAGCATTTTTTTTTTTTTTTTAATATTTACTTTCAAACCTTTGATGACAATGTTAAGTGGAATCTGGCTTAGTACTGATCCGGGCAGACACCACTTGAACCTCCCCTTTTAATGAGGAGGTTGCTATTGACAGCTTCTTCTTGGAACCTGTCAGTTAGTAGCACAGAAAGTCATTATTAAAAATGTTCCACCACAAGCGCCTGTAAATTATATGATAAATGGATTAAGAATGGACTAAGTCAAACATTTTGCAAATTTCTAAGTACATTAGATCTCCAGTTACTTTTATCATCCAGATTTTAATTGATTCAAAGAATTAAATTGGGTTTGTTTGACGAGACCTATGTTCTGTAAAACCATTTTGACCAGCATTAATTATCCACTAATTTGTCAATTAAGTCAACCAACAATGGAAAAGTAGGGCTGGAAGAGACCTTAGGAGGTCCTTTAGTCCAACGCCATGCTGAAGGCAGGATCATTCTTGGCTAAACCATCCCAGTCACTATCTGCCTCAATTTCTCTTTAAAAACTTCCAAGAACTGAGATTCTATGGTCTGTTGTTCTGTTATCTTTTGCATGTAATTGATGTTAGAATAACTTTCCTATAGTTAGCTGGGTTGTGCTGTTTTCTTGTTATTTTTAATACTGTTATAATATTAGCCATCTTCTGGAATTTTGTGATATTCTGAGATGTATTACAATTAATATCTGCAAGGCTAGTACCTTCCAAGTCCATTCTTTTATGACTGTGTGCACGCAATTTATCTAGACATTTTGGCTTAAAATGTTTATTTTTAGATAATGTATGTTAACATTCTCCTTTGTTATTTCACCCGCTGATGTTACACAAGCACTTCATCCTGGTTATTTCCACATGCTGAACAGAACTATTTTTTGAATACATCTGTCATTTTTGCATCACTCCTAACAACAGTTTTGCTGTCTTCATTTAGTTACCAAATTATGCTACGGCTCAGCTTTCTTTTGCTCCTAATATACTTTTTGAAAACTCATTCTAACTGCCCTTAGTTTTGCCAAACAGATTTTTTTTCTGATGACTCCCTTTTTTACTGCTTTTAACTTACCTTCTCAGGTTTACTATTGCTTTTGCAGCCCCAAAGTGCACTGGGTTTCCAGGCTGAACAGGGGGGCTTCAGCCAGGTCCCCTTTGGTGTTGCAGAGATGGAGAAGAGAGGAGCCATCCTAGTGCTCACTCTGGGAGGAACCAAAATACGTGATGAGAGTGAGCTGCAGTGTTAGGGACACTAAGAAGTGTATGAAAAATTATTGCTTGGATTGGGTGGAAATGGTCAAAGGTTCAGCAGAGCTTAGGTGGCCTGTTGGGCTGGTATGGTTAAAGCACATGAGAATGTGGCTAGAATCCTATCCACATGCCTTTGCCTCCCTGGACTCAGTGGCCAAGTATCCTAATCACAGCTGGCTTGACTAAGGGTGACTGTCTGCACAGGTATGGAGTAAGGCTTCAAGTGATACCTCTGGATTTGTAGCCGGATGCCACTCTACTGCCAAGCCCCTAATTAGTTCCTAGCAGGGATGCAAGTGGAGATGGATGAAGATGGGGTGAAAGCCAGTGGACACAGGGGCCTGTAAGATGGACAAGATCTGACTTGACCATAATCTGCAGTTGTGGTTGTTGATATCCTACTCTGCAAGGAGTGGAACGTAGTGCAGCTCTCCAGACCTGCGTGTGTCTCTACAAGGGTTTCCTTAAATGATCAGAGAGGAATTGTTCAGTAGTTCAGTTCTATGGTGTTGGAGGGGGGAGGGGAGTGTTGTGGGTGGAGAATGTTTACCTCTGAAGGAAAAGGCATTTGGACCTACTGGCTTGTATTTGACATTGGAAACCCAGAAAACTTGACTTCTAATCCCACTTCTGCTACTGACTTGCTGCAACACTGGTTGGGGGCCTTTAGTTTCCTGTGCGGTTGTTTCTTTTGTAAAATGGCTCGATTTAACTCGGCTGCTTCCTGGGGTTATGCAAATGAATGAATGAGAACACAGATTCTTCGAAGATGCAAAGCTGTCTTCACATGAACACTTCAGACCTCTCTGGAAGGGAAAAGGAATTGATGCCTGATAAATTGCCTGTTTTTTTAGTATGGGTTGAGCTGCTTTTGCAGCAAGGAAAGCTAGGTATATGAGAGATGTTAAAAAAGAACAGAGGATTCACTGAGCTATCTCTAGTCTACTGTTGCCAAGAATGGAAAAATTTCTAGTAAGGTCCATAGAGGATGGAGAAATAACAGTAAAGGGAAAATGTGTGCTGGAGCCTACCTTCTCTATAGGGTGTCTCCTGATATTGGAAAGCCAACAGTTTTTCTAAACTTCCCCCTGCCTAGCATGGGTAGGGTTGTATTTCTGTACTGGCTTGTTTAATAGCACAGGTGAGTCTTTCATTCACTTGACAGTGAGGAAATGGTTTTGTGCAACCTGCAATATGAATTTCACTCACATTGCTCTGCTAATACACATTGCTTTTGGCCTGTGTTAGCCCTTTCAGTAGAGACTTGGGACTCTGGTGACAATGTCTATGTAACAGGCATCAGAGTGCTGTATCTTTTTGGTACAGTACTTCTCTTGCATGTTAAAGAGGCACAGTACTAGGACTGCATGCTGATGGTTTTGTGGGATGGTTGACAAAGCCAACAGTGAATGCTTCAGATGTACTTTCCCTGGTGATATAAGGCTGTGCACTGAGATGAGAGATTAAAGCATCAACCTGCTTTGCTAGGAAACCCCTTTGGTGACATGAGAACAATTAGGGTAGAGGGAGGTGTGTGAAGCAGGTCTACTGCATCATACCATACAACCTAATTGGGTCAGCTTTCTGGGACAAACATCGCATGGGAACAGCCGCTTGCAAAAATAGGAAACGTGGCAAGAAACCTTGTTTGGGTTCTCAATGAAAGCAGGAATCCAGTCAATTATTGTTCCAAAAAATACCTTGCGTAGTAGTAAGGAGTCAGGACTGTCTGCATGAGACAGCCTGGAGATGGGGGATGCTGCAGATCATCTGCTGCCTTTCATAGGAACTCCACACACTGGATTCTGCTGCTTAAGAAGAAACAAGAGGAATTAGCAAAAAAAAATGCAGAATTTCACCTTGGTTTTTCTCAAGAGCTGCCCTGGAATATCTTTAATTAGAATTGTTTTATGGTACAAATCATACAATTAAGCCACCATGTATAGAACAAAGTGGGAAAAGGAAGATGTCAATGAGGTTTCCATCAACAACTGGCTAGCTGGGGTCTTCCAGAGATTGGGGGAAGTGTGACTGTTCAAAGGAGGAAGTCCATCTGTGCAGGTCCCAGCCTGTGAACACACAGGGGTTGTTTCACTTTCAGCCTCCTGTGGAGTAAATTATGGAGATTATTTCAGGGACAGGATCACGAACTGAACCCTGAAGGCTTCACATGGCTGTGACTGGCATATGAAAGTTAGTCTTAAAATGCCCTTTCATGTGCCTGCACGTACAAATTGGGAACCATGCAAACTTGTTTTAATGGATCTCGGCCTTGTGACAGCCTGAGTCCACATGTGTGGCCAGGTCTGGAGCTGATGACTTGCACGTAAGAACAAGGTACTTTCAAGTATAACATTTTCAGATGACTTGAGAGATCAACATTGCACCCTGTTGCTCAAAGAAGTGCTTAGCAGAAGGCAACAATAACTTTTTGTTCCTCTGAATAAAAGAATGAGCAGGCTGCAATTCTCTGTGTTCCCAAACATTAAAATGCTGATAGGTCCCATAACAGCACAAGATTGGAAAAGGACAGATAGTAAAAGGAGGCTTGTACTAGGTTAGAATCCACACCATTCTAACACAGAGGGAAAAAAATATACTCCTTTCCTTCTGGTTAACATGTGATAATGAATTTAGTGATTTATTGATTCAGCTATATGATTATTAAGAGAGACATCAAAAAAATCATGTAATTGTTAATAGTTCTAGGCTTTTTTGCTGCTTTCTCCTTTAGTCCCTTTTAAATGTTCATTTAACAGTCTTGATCATTATTTACATTGGTGCTGTGAAAAATACCAATCTTGCAGGTAGATATTCTTTAATTGCTGCCATTTTTTATCTGTGTTTTTTGCATTTGGTCTGCAAGAACATCAATTTCTGTTTGCCTTTCCTCTTGCACAGCATCTTCCGCATTAACAGACAAGTTCAATTTGGTTGCTGTTTTAAATTCATGTTTCTTGTCTGTTTTTATTTCTGCCTGGGGCTTGCTTTCCTGCTTGTGCTCTGACTTTACCTCTTCCAGGTTCCGAGAACACTCGCCTGCCTGTGCATATAAAGCTGATGAAGGACCCTGGGATTTTGGAGTCTGCATCCAAATGTGACTCAAAACCTCATCAATGTTCAACCTCCGACTCACATCTGGCTGCAGCATCTGGTAAATTAGATCCTTGCATTCAATTGTCAGGGTTTTAGACCTCGGGAAGTGCACCCTGTGTTCTTTCTGAATCTTCAGCATCTTTCTAACATTTGAGTCGTCATATGGCATTGATCCACAGACCATTATAAATAGAATGACACCCAGACTCCATATGTCATAAATCTTGGGCTCATAGGGAATGCCCTGTAGAACTTCAGGGGCAGCATATGCAGCAGAACCACAGAAGGTTTTACTGAGAGTAATTTTTCCATCCTCATCCCGAGACAGACACTTAGAAAAGCCAAAGTCTGATAGCTTGATGTTGAAATCCTTATCTAGAAGGAGGTTCTCACATTTCAGATCCCTGTGGACAATATCCAGATCATGACAGTATTTGATGGCAGAGGCTAGCTGGTAAAACATCTTGCGAGCTACGTTCTCAGGGATTGACCCTCTAGTCTTGATGAACTCCAGTAGGTCTCCTTGTACACCGAGCTCCATCACAATGTAAACTTTGCGGTCAGATATCTCAAATATCTCATAGGTCTTGACAATTGAGCAGTGATTTACTTTTGCTAAAATATCTATTTCCCTGGGGAGAAATCTTTCCAGGAAGTCTCGAGGCGCTCTTTTCTTATCTATGATCTTTACTGCCACATTGAATTTCAGTTTTTCAGAGTAGGCACATTTTACTTTAGCATAAGATCCTTCTCCCAGTTTCATTCCCAGCACATAGTGTCTCTTTTTAAGGACTGCAGCATCATCCATGGTGCCAGAGGCAACAAGGGATTCATTAGTTGAAGTTGACTGTGCGTTACATATGCTAGCAGTCTGTTAATATATTTTCCATGGTAGTCATCCAGGATGTCTTGTTCTCTTAAGTCAGTTGATGTGGAACCTTTGTTATTGTTTACTATGTGATGTGGACGTATGATGTCATAGAGCAGAGATGCTATGAACAGTGACTGAGTATAAAATATGACGTATATCCCACTTCACTATCTGGACAGGAAAGTGAGGGGAAATAATTGGGGTCTGGAGGAGATTGAATAAAAGTAAAAGGTCGAATTCTAGATGTTTTAGGGAAGAAGGAGCAAGATTTGGCTACAGCCTGGATATAAGCACAAAAGAGAGGGAAAGGTCAGAAGAACCAGAGTGGACAAAAGACATGCTTTCTGTTAAAATCATTTTTGCAGTGGGAGGACCTGCAGAGTGAGATGTGGGACCAGACAAAGACAGGGAACGTGATAAGCGGCTATTAAAAATGGGATAGTCCAAATACAGTATTTGAAGTGTAAGAAGCCTTAAAACCCACCCACCAAATTCTGGCCTCCAGCTTGTAAAGAAGAAACAGATTTTCATTCATTTCTGTTTTGTTTTCTTTGCAGATTGCTGAACGTAAAGGCAAGCAGCAAACACATGTTCAAACACTTAGCAAAGAAAAACTCAGCAAGACCAAACAGTAGAGAAAGGAAGCCCAGGCCTGAGACGTGCTCCGTGCAAACACTGACACCGAAGGAGGCAGTCCTGGCTCAGAGATGGAAAGCAGACTCTTCCAGGTATTTGAACCTAGGTTATACCGGTGCATACAGTATTCTTACACAATAGTCTGAATGAGATCTGTGTGTGAGGAGCGTGGCCTAAATGCAGCAAGGATGATCTCATGGTCAAAGCAGAAGTTTGAGAGACGGGAAGCGTGGACTCTAATCCCAGTGCACCCTTGCCCTTGTCCTGGTCTCACAGGCCTTGGGGGCCTATAACTCCCTTAATTACAACCTACAATCTCCTTCTACCTTGTGGCACCTTTGCCTGTCCCTTCCAGATCAATTTTCATGTTATCTTTCCATTGCTGCCTTGGTTTGCCTTGAGGTCTGAGAACTATTAATCCCAGCTCTAGGGCTAATATTGTGACCATGAGTAAACTTATTAGCAGGGATCCAGGTTTTCTGTTTCCCATGGAAAAATTTAAAAAGCTGCAGATTTTCTCTTTTACCCAAGAAAAACACTGATTTTTCATTTTAATAGAGAAAACTCATGGATTTTCCACTTTTGCAAAGAGCAGAGTTCCAGCCTGCAAGGGGTTGGGGGAGTGGGAGGAGGGCAGTCAGGCAGGGGACATGCACATGTATATGCACATGGCCACCAGGCAGCCTGGAGAGCAACTCCAGCAAGTAAGTAGAGGCGGGGGAAGATGTGGGGGGGGGAGGCATCTGTACAGAGGGATAGAAGGATTTGGGCAGAGCTGGGGCAGGGGCTCGGGCTATCGCCCAGCCCAGGCAGTGCATGGGACTGGGGACTCAGGGCTGGGATGCACAGGCCTGGCAGAGAGTGGGACAGGGCCACAGGTGGCTTGTCCAGGGTGTGGGGGTGGGGCTGGCTCCCTGTTGCTGCGCGCACTCCTGGGAGGCATGTGCCCCCCAGATCTGTGCACGGAGTGGGGGTGGGGGCAGGCTGCCTGCTGCAGGCTCAGGCTCCCCACCCTGCTGCACTGTCCTGGGGCCTTCACAGCTCAGCGGGCGGGACCCGGCACAGCATGGCAGACTGGGGCTGGGCGGGGAAGCCTCTTGCCACCACAAATCCCACACCACCCTGGCACGGTGCCTTCTGCCCACCTAGCAGCAGCAAGGGGCATGACTTAATGCCACTGCCCTGCTGCTGCTGGGTGGGCAGGGGGCACCTTGCCAGGGCAGTGCGGAGCTTGCAGTGGCAAGGAGCTTCCCCACACTGCTCTGCCCTGCCGCACTGGGTCCTGCCCACTGGGCTGCGAAAGCAGTGCTGCCCAAGTGTGTGTGTGTGTGTGGGGGGG